GATACTGCAGACAACCGGAGACTTACTCTTGTTTTTCAAATTACACCAACTTGGCCGTCATGGGCCGAGAACTGACTGCCTTCCCGCGGTCCATAGGATTGAATGAGGGATGGCTTTCGCTTCTACACCGGAGACGACCGGCTTGAGTGAGGCTTGGATAACAGAGGTGCGACCGATTCGATTCGATTCGAATAATTAAAACAACTCACCTGTTCACGGCCGAGCTTGGATTTCCCTCCTGAATACCATAGAAATCCAATGAGGGAGAGAACTCAGCGCTGTACCTTCAATTAACACTCTTGATAATAAGCTTACCTCATTGCGATCCATATTGATCGATCGGCCGATTGGATAAAGAACTCCTCCTACTCGAGTACCGGTTACGACTGTACCACTCTTGTCGGCCAAGCTTGGATTTACCTCCTGTTTACCATAGGAATACAATGAGGGAGAGAAGTCAGTGCTGCGCCTTCAATAATAACACACTTTTGTTCCACGAATCAATCTAAAAATTTCGAAAGGGAACTTGTTACTTAACGATACACATGACCGTTGATTCTGCAACTGAAGTGCGGGTACACTAATTTACACAGTAAACGCGAGCCAATCGATTTCAGAGTGCAACTGAGGGGGAAACCAAAAGGTGCGTCGTCTCAAGGAGACGTAACAAGATTTTGAGCTCGCTGCAAAGTGGGAACGCCCTTACTCAGTGGTGCATGGCTACGTTAATGCTCGGCTCAGCCTAGCTATTCTTCGGGCCCGCCACCTCTGCATGTGTGGCTCTCGTGTCCCTGCTGGCACAATGAGCTACCGTCGTTCTCTCTGGGATGCCGATGGTGCACTTGCACTCTTGAGGTCCTTCCACATTTTCAACAAAAATGCATGTTAAAATCTGATCCGTATCACACAAGACTCCCAAGCTTTTTGATGAAAATGTCGAAGGACCTAAACCAGGAAGAGCGCCCTCGCTTCGTTTACCACTCTTCCGCTAATTTTGCTCCCTTGTCCTTCCTGGTTTTCCTCCATGCACCCCCTTCCCTGCCCCCCTTGTTTTGCCCTGCTCGCGTCCTCATTGCTCTCCCCGTATGCCCACCACAACAGCCACCCACCACCGCAGCCACTGCTTTGCCTAGCTAGCCTCGCCCCCCTCGCTCCTTAACGTCTCTATTTAGTTTATGCATTACATGTAATCCTAAAAGGTTATTTGTGGTACGAGTTTGAAGTCGTGCGAGTGTGAACAAAGCCAAGCATGGCCAAATGATAACAGAAAAGCTTCAAGTTATCTTTCTCCTCGAATGTGGGGGATCTCACCCCAGAGCAATTCAATCAACCATGGCATGGACTGAGTTACTCAGCTTAGTATTTTGCAGCCAAGGTTGGGGCATACTGAAACATGAATGGCGTATTCTGGTAGATTGTGTTTGGAAAATTTGTGAACTGCAGGGATGCGTAGCACAGTGACACATCCGTGCACCAGGACGGGCAGTTTTCATATGTTGCAGTGATAGACCTTCTACGAATACCCCCTTGAGTGCTGTACGCCGCACAGTTGTTGCCACCTGCACAAGTGGAATCAACAAATTCATCAGATCCTGCTCCCAATAATCTTCCAACTGCCCATGTATAGTAGTAATAAGCAGAATTATCCGCCCATGAATAGCTGACTTCAAAATAGCCAGTTTTCGATGTGCTGGTGTAATGCTGAAAGTATTTGTACCCTTGAAAGCTGCTTGGATAGGCTGAGTGCACATAGTTTCCCATGACAGCAAACAGATCAGCTCCCTTTGATGCCTGTAATCCGTACACCCACTCAAAGTAGCGGTCTCCGTCAGTTTGGAGATAATACACATAGTCACCAGCATTGCGACTTGAAAGATCAAGGAAGCCGGATTGGTCAACCCACCAGCCAACACTGTACACACGAACATTGAGCCCACTGTTAATGAAGGCTTGATTTGTAAGGGAGATGCTATTGTTGATTTTTTGGCTCACTCTACTGGGGTTTTCTCCCAATGCTGACCACAATTGACTGGTAATAACATGGCCAATACTGCCAGAAAAAAGCAACGGTGGATTAGTGAGACTGCTGACATGTGGACATCATTGTGCTTCGGCCCCCCACTTACTAAATGTAATAACCTGTCTGTAGATCACGTGGGCCCCGCAAGTTGCCTTGGGCTTCTTTGACTACCATTGAAAGATCACGACCTCTGAATCCATCAGGATTGCCACCATTGCCATTGCCATTACCATTACCACAGTTGTTTTTTGGATCTCGGCAAGATGTAGGGGAGGCAGTGGGACTGTCAATGGGAGAAACACTAGGGCTGGCGCTTGGGGCCGAGCTTGGGGAGGAGCTGGGAGACGAACTGGGTGAAGCACTAGGGGAGGCACTTGGACTGCTTGAGGGTGAAGTAGAGGGAGTGGAGCTGGGACTAGTGCTGGGTGAGGTGCTTGGCGAGTCACTTGGAGAATCACTTGGTGATGAGCTTGGCGAGGGGGTGAATGGTGGTTCAAAGTCAATTTCTGGTAAAACATCAGGAAGATCCTCCACATTGGTGGCAGTAAACTTCAAAGAAGTGTACCCATCAGAGCCTGCAGTGCCCACACTTTCAATTGAATAGGAGACTTCACCATCAGTGATGGACATTAGGAAGCTACCATCAGATGTCATTGAAGTCATAACTGTCCTCGAATTGTCACCATTTTGATCACCATACCATGTCGTAAACTCAACAGTTGCTTCTTCTCCATTTACAGCAAACGTTTCAGTGGTCTTTTCAGCTGTGATCACAGCAAAGTTAACTGGGGAGCTTGGGTTTTGCTTCAAACCACGGAGCTGAACCTTTGGAATTAGAGAGAGATCACGGCCCAGGCAAACAGGTTCCATCTCTCCAACAAGCACTGGGATGCCTCCATCTGTGTCTTCCACAGGGTCTCCAAGGATTTGCAGTTTAAGCACATTGGGAACTTTATTCTGGTTGTTGCCAAGAAGATGAAGAAGAAATGGTGAGACCAGTGTTGGTTTTGCTTGATGGGCATACAATGGCATTTCAGTTGCATGACTCACCCCATTGCAACTGTTATCCTGTGCAAAGGCCATATTGGGAACAGTGAAAAAGGCTGCGAGGGCAGCAAAGGAGATGTTGAGCTTCATGGTTACTATATTGACGAGTGCTGATAGTCTTGGGCTTTCTTCCTTCCAGGTTGGTTTTCAATCTGCTCTGATTGAAAGTTGTGAGACCTGATCAGCTTGGAATTCGAAGCCATAAACTTCCAATGCTGTGGCTCGCTCGATTGTTGCAGCCCTGTGCCACATTCGCGAAACTGAAAGTGCAGGACTTTGTATTACAGGTAGATGAGGTAAACGTAATTTTTGGCAAACGTAAAAATCCTACAACTATACATTGGCTTTGGCCCTAAAACTACCCTACCTACCCTTCTAAAGCAAAGATGACTGTTGTTGCGGTTGGATCACGGATGTGTCTTTGTCGCTTGCTACGCTGTACTGGTATACTATGTGTACTGCTTTGTCCACTCCCGATCGGGATGGAGGCTCGACTTGTTTTCTTCAGCCACAGGGTATCCTGCACGCGGCTGCAGGAGATTAGACCTCTAGCGACGTCCTGGGGGCATCGGATGTGGTTGTATTTATGTATGTGCTCAGGACGGATGTTTGTTGGTTCTTTTTATGTTGTACGAACCTTCATTCGTTCATACCAGTAATAATGGAGGGTCTGTTCGAATCGACTCAATGGCTGATGCGCGAGCGATCTAGCTACTGGTATGTATGCATGCATCATGTAGTTCACGCAGCTTCGGTAGCTGGTAGGGTGGCTGACTGCTCGTGCTCGGCTTCTTTTCTGATGAGCTCCGCCAATTTTTTTTGAAACGAGGTCGTCACGCACACAGTAGTATGCATCCTGCTTTACTAGGAGACCCTTTATGATGTCCTGGGGGCATCGCACCAGCCACGGTTGTAGATATGGATGTTGCTGTGCATGAAAGAACCACCTTACTATACGGTACTCCAGAGTACACCCGTTGGGCGATCTTGGAAAGTTTGGCCACTTACTTGTTGTCAAGTAAGTTCCACTACTCGTAAGGTGCTGGGGGCATCTGGACTTTAGAGTGCTGCGCGAGAAGCAAGGCGCTTGTGCTGCTTGCTTGCTTTGCTTTGCTTGGCGCGGTCCTTGCATTCCATGTAGTTGCATTGAGTGCCGGTAGCTGTGGAGGTGCGGCTCGGTACGGTACCAAAGGACACTGGCACAATCGGATTCATAGGCATCTTGGGGCGCACTTTGAACTACTGTAACTTGCTTTTTAAAAGGCTCCAATTGCTTTATTCTTTCCTCTAGCAAGCAAGCAGCAGGAGACTCTACCACCTTCTTATCTTCTTGGCCATGGAGAAGACAAAGAGGGCTTCCTGTGACCTTGATAGGGATCTGGTAAATTCAATCTAGTTGAGCTTGAATAAGGTAGCCTGTGTAGGTACATGCTCTACTCTCTAGAGCAAGCTTCCTGAAGGTAACTCGCGTCCGATCGATCCCGGCTGGCTTCCCTGGATAATTTCCCTACTCTTTAGAAGTAAGTTGTGATGTTGTGATCGATCCCTTGGCCAGCGGCAATGACTCGACCATGTAAATCAATTGAAATTGAGAGCGCAAATAATGTTAATGCTTCGAATGAGAACTCTAGTGAAATGACTTCTATTAATAATAAAAATAAGCTCGAGGGTTTTGCTGATGTGGCAAGTACGTGTACTATCATAGTACTGTACAGTAGTTCTGGAACATAAAGATTTAGAGGTATCTTGGGGTGCACTCACTCAGAAAAATGCGGTTCCAATGACCTCATCATACGACTGCATGCTTCCCCTCGGCTGGGCCATTGCCAAACCACCACTCGATACTTACTCGATCCACCACTGTTTGGACGTTGGCAGCTAGCCAACACTTTCAGAATTGCTCTTGACTCTTGACTTGACCTATTACCTGATCATGCCACGAGCAAGTCGAGGACGACGAGGACGCAAGAACGACTCTAGCAGTTCCGAGGAGGAAGAAGCAAGCAGTAGTTCCGAGGAAGAACCAGACGAGTCGGAGAGTGAAGCGTCCAACAGCGACAGCGACGATGACGAGTCTGCGAAGGATCAAGGCGACAGCAGTGATGACGATGAAGAGTCTACGGTTCAGAGTGACAATGATGACGATGACGATGAATCCACAGTTCAGAGTGAACCAGAGTCGTCGGATGACGAGTCGTCTGCTGTGGAATCAAATTCCGATTCTGACGACGATGATGATGAACCAGAAAGGCGGCGATCGAGCAAAAAGAAGAAGAAACCTCCTCCCAAGAAACAAAAACAACGACAACCTGCGCCAGTAGTCAGTGACAATGATGATGAATCTAGTGAGGAACAACAGCAAGAACAAGAAGTAGAAGAAGAAATAGAAAAACAACCACCTGAAGTAGAACAAAAAGAGGAGGAAAAGGAAGAAAAACCACTGCGAGTAGTGGATTTGGATGCGTTGGAAGAAGAACGGATTCAACACGAAGAAAAAATGCTCCCCTTTTCCATTTTCACCAAACGCAAGGCACTCGATCCTTTGAAAGAAGACCTTTTGTCGGGTTCCATTCACGACGTGGAAGTCGAAGTGAAGGATTTGACGGCGGAAAAGGACGACACGGACGATTTCCTAGCGTCGCTCCATATGAGTTTTCAAGCCATTGCCACACAATTGGAATCGACCGAAGGCGATGACGATTTATTGCCCAATAGTGATGATGATGATGATGAAGCGTCGTTTGGAGAAGACGACAATGACAACAAACCAAAAATAGACGACGGAACCAATGACAAAGTGAACCAAGAGGAAGAAGAGGAGGAGGAGGAGGAGCAAAGTTTAGAGGAAATGGTACGAGAACATGCTGGCGAAGATGCCTTGCCCAAACTGGATCAAGACGACAACGACGATGATAGTGACGACGACGAAGAGGAAGAAACTCAAATGCCGGCGCTACCAGATTTTTCCGAGTCAAATGCAGACGAACCTTCAGGCGACGAAGAGGAAGAGGAACAGCCGCCAGAAGAAGAAGAAGAGAAAAAAGCTGACCAAGAAGTCAAGCCGGAAAAGAAAAAGGATGGAGCACCGCGGAAGCCACCCCGCAAACCAAGAGGAGGAGGAGGAGGCGTCAAACGAGTCCGAACCATGCCCTCTCGACCGGGAGAAGCAAACTTGTTCTTTGATTGGAGAGAATTTGCCAAAACTGGAAAAATACCAAACAAGCCACTCATTGCCGCCAGCGGCGACAACAACAATCTCCTGGACACTAGTAGTATTTCATCGCATGGGGATACTATGGACCAATCCAAGCAAAGCGTAAATCCTGCGGAAGACGACGACGAATCCTCGGAGAATGATGGTTCCATGCGAGACAGCAGCAGCAAGCGGTCTCGGCGTAGCTCGGCGGCCCCTGCAAGATCCAAGAGTAAAGATCAAGCAGGTACTAGCAGCAAGGGCGGTAGAAGCAAGAGAATATTACGGTCCCAAACTGCACCTCCTGGAAGAATCCGACGACCAGGTGAAGAGTTCTTTGATTGGAAAAAATTTGCCGCCGATCGGGCCAAACAAAAACGCAAACAATGATCGAATGCAGGGAGTTATCTTGTGCGTAAAACATCGACGACGAGGACGACAATGCCAAACGTGTCATTATTGCTTGGCTAGGTCTGCTCTGCTCCATGGTGGGGCGAACAGTTCCCGAAATTGCTCTTTGTGTTGCGAGTTTTTCCGGAATACCTTTCTTGCTAGAAGCAACCTTCGAGTAAAGCCGACAACTGCCGTTTTGCCGCAATCGGCAGTCGCGACAGTCACGCAGTTCTACTGTACGGTACCGGCACCTCTGGCGAACCATACGAATATCGTACTCGCGAATGTCTTGCCAAGTGGATAGAACGGATCGTACCGTACACGCAGACGAGTTAGTTCCAAACTCCAACAAACAAACCTGTATTCCTATCCACTAAACCTAGAGCTAGCTGACTCAACTCAAGCAATTTTGTACCGTTCTATAGCTAGAATCCAGTAGACTCAAGTGGTTGTCACTGCTGAAGCAGAATAACAAAAGCAATCATAATCATGCCGTCTCAACCAACCCAAAGGATTTAATCCGAAACTACTGATGTAGCTAGTCAGGGAGCTGCCAATGCCTTGGCTTCGTTGTCGTCGTTGGCTTTTTGACGGAGATATCTCTTCTAGCATTATTTTTATAAAAGACCTATTGTGCATTTCACAAACACAAAAGTGCTGTCGCCGCTCTTGGCAGCTCCAAGACTGTCCAACGTCAGACTGTCCCAGCCATCGCAAGGCTCATCGGGAACCGGAGAATGAACGCCATCCTTTGTCTCGCTTGGGTTGGGTTGGTGGTTCACTGCTGGCGACAGTGAAACACTAAACAGTACTTTCTTCGATGTCAGGTGACTCTAACTTCCTTTGGTGCACCCAGTACTCCAAATTGTCTGCAACTATAGGGACAACCCTTTCTTTGACTTGTGGTATGATTCCACCCAACACTTCGTAGGCGGGTAAGATGACAAACTTGACAAACCCAATTTGCGAATCTGCCTTGAGGGTGGTGTGGCGGTTACAGTTGGGTGATATTGGAAGCCCCAATTGCTTTTCCTTGTCCCCTTGCACAAAGAATTCATCCATGACCCGATCGGTCCAAAGGATCGAAAGAGGCCGGGGCTTTGCCTGGCCTGAAATGTCTGCCATGTGGAGTATGTACATGAGCACATCCCAACGAGTTTCTTCATCACTGAGATAATCTTCTTCCATCATATCTCCCTTGATCTCGCTGACAGTCTTAAAATGCAGAGACATGTCCGTGTGCAACACTGCCTTGATCACCTTGTTTCGAATCTTGGCAACCTTGGAACGATCAACCTTGCGAAGGATGTTGAGATTTGTCTTAGTGTCAAACATCTTCACAAAAGCATGCGAAACATGCTTATTCTCCAGGATTGAGTTGTCATTGTAGATCAGAGCCAAATCCGTCCTTGCATTGGCCTGAAAGGCGTTGCTCGATCCAGGATGTTGTACGTCATGGACAACAGCAGCAAGAAGTATTGAGAAGATCTCAAGTTTGCTTGCATGCAGTTCTTCTCCAGACATTTGCAGCAAAGCATGAAGAGATTGGACAACATCGGCAGCATGAGTTTCATTGTGGTACGGGTTCGCACTGATGTAGTCATCTTGAATCACCCGAAGGTAGTCACATAGAGTATGCAGGGGAATCTTGAGATCTGAGTCACTAAAGTTGTACCCCTCAAAGGAATCAAGGTCAACATCTTCGCCACATGCTCTAGCCATGGCATACTGAGAATGAGGAGAACCCAAAACAGCCCAGCCAACAAACAACAACGGGTTCCCATCTGTGAGATGACATAGATCAAAAACGTTGAAATCCCATCTCTTGAGTGCATGCCAAGAAAGCATGATTGACACTCTGGTTTTGATAGCTTGGGATGCAAGAGCCTCAAATTCCGGAAGAAGGTAGACACCACTAGAGGATCCCCCAGCAGGTTCTTCCATTGCCTCAATCTCACTAGACACAGATCGCCTTGTTACATCAATCCCTCCATATTCTTGCAAGAGAAACATATTTGACTGCTTCTTGACAGAAAAACGAGCAGTTGTCAAGGAAAACCGAGCCAGACCTCCAGGCAAATGCATCAGTTTGTTTTGTTTCTTTTCCCTGTCACCACTCAAAAGAACATGCTTCACCTTTTGCAAGTCCTCGCGTTGTTCCTGTGGCAAGTCATTACTGTTTTCATCCAGCATGCGGTTTAGAATATCTGTAGCCTCGTCCCATTTAGAACCAGTAATAGAAGCTAGAGGCAAATATGTACTCTCCGAAGAGAAGTTGGGACCTCTGGTAGATGGACTTTTCATGCTTTCTCGCACTCGGATCATTTTTGGCACAAACAGAAGCAGCAGAACGACAAAGTTCTGTACAAAGACAGCCCCAACCCGCACAATGTAGCTGACATTGTTGTTTTCTCGTGCAAGGACAAAGGTGGGTGCAGTCAACAAAACAACTTCGAATGTGAATGCCACGGCAAGAGAAATGCAACCGCTCTCAGCAAAGTCACTGTGAATGTGCCTCGTTTGATAGGACAGGACAAGTGCACCAAGAAGACAGAGCAGCTGAAAGCCCACTAAAGCACCAAAGTAAGCATTTTGATGATCGGATTCACAGCGCCCAACACTTTCTGTAGCAAAGCCATCTACCTCTTCAATGACTTCTCGTGTCCATTGGATGGGAGAATCAAGCTGCCAAGCAGTCAGAATTGCCAGCTGGATAATCAGGATTATGCCCACTAGGCCAGAAACTTCTTTTAGGCCCACCGCTCTTTGCGATCTAGCTGACTTGCCCATTTGTTTCTTGCGTCCAGCTCTTGAAACCAACATGATCCGGAGTAGCTTGGCAAGCAAAGGACCATAGGCAACAGCAAAGCCAACCCCATATAGCCAAGGTGTGGCCATACAAGCTGCATTCACCATATCAGATGCCACCTCAGCTTGGACTCCCAGGAAGACAATCGAGAGACTTGAGATCCAGCAACCAAAAATGACCAAAACAAGGAGTTGGGGTTGACTGATGCGCACCAAAACGCTTGTCTGGTGGCTCCACAACCAAATGGCCATGACGAGGCATACAAAGGTAATAGTACCAAAAAGTGTATACCCCACAACGAGCAGTCCCTGCGAAATGTAATTGAATTCTTCATTGGGGATACACTCGGTTTGTCCCTTTCGTCCTTTGGTTGTGCTGCCTACTGGACATGGCGAACAAAACCCGGCTACGTTGTTGTCTCTTGTGATGTACGTGTCAAAAGGGCACAGCTCACAAGCACTCAGCAAGATAGAACTTTGGGTTTTGAGTGCCGTGTGGTTGAGAAAGCTGCCCTGTACACATTCCTCGGCACTTGGGGATGGCAACACAATCGAAGCTTCTGCCTGAAGTAGAGGAGATACCAGAGCATTGGCAAGAACAGCATCGCTTTGATTGTTGAATGCTGGTTCTTTCTTTCGCCTTCCACCAGAAAATTCACCCTTTTCAAAGGGCAACCACTGCGTCCCAGCGGCACCTCTTCCCACATTGCGTTGGTTCTGGTCAAAGGCAACCTTGCCAAAGATTGTGTCTGCCGTCAGCACCATCATGTCCCGTCTCAGTCGTTCACGACCCTCAGCCGTGGCAAAATCTTCCAATGGATTTGGATGAGTGGTAACTTTGTAGGCATTTTGTAGGTGCTTTGCGTAGAGATAGGGGACTACGTAGCTCACTACCTGATCGTACGTGCCATTGTATCCATACTCTTGGTAAGTATGTTGGAGTAGTTCCTTGCCACTGGCAAAGTTTTCATCACCATAGTCCAAGGCAGGATGCCATTGTCCACCTCCATGGAGGTAAGGGAGCAATTCAGGATTCCGAGCTGCCCAGGTCCATGTTGCAGCTGTTAGCCAGATGCTAGTAGGGCGGCATCGATTCTGTCGCCATCGTTCAAACATTACGTCTTGCTCGGTGCGGGTGCACACAAACAAGGCAGGATGAAAGTTAGGTGGGTGATCCGGAGGACACGCTTTATCCGCAATTTCACCCAGGGTGATGGCGTCGAGCTCATTCACGATACCATCTCCGTTGTCATCTTCCAAGGGATCAAATTTCATGGTTTCAATGTTGGTAAATCCGCTTTTTTGTAGCGCTCGAATGGCCGATTGACAGGTGCTCCGAAAGAACTCTGATTGTTCTCGATACATCACACGAATAGGGATATCTCTGGCGGGATTCTTTTTTGCCGCCCAAAAGTCCAATGCCTGCACATTGGCCAAGGGGTATGTATCGGAGTTGATGTGGATTCCAAAGACAAAAGGATTGCTGTTGGAAGGAAGGTAGAAAGAGGGAGGCCCCACTTGTGCCATGTAAATGGCTTCCAAATCCCCCGCCACTGGTTTTTCAACAGAAGCCACAAAAGAGCAAGAACCTACAATGTATGGCGCTTGAAGCTCCTCGACCAGTCCTCGTAAAATGTATTCATGCTGCTCATGGTATCCATCGGCGCGCGCATCTCCAGCAATCACACTGACAAGGTGGAACTTGACAAAATGGTCTTTGGCAAAGCCAATCGGGACACCGTGACCAGCATTAAGGAGTTTGACACTAGTGAGTGCTCCATCACGGCCAACACCACAGGATATAGGTGTTACATGTACCAGAGGGATTACTGTAGTGTTCTCGGAAGGTTCAGGTTTGATATTGGCAATAACACAGGGAGCAAGTTCACTTTTTTCTTCTGGAGGCAACTGTGTCACTTCGTAGGTGGAATGAGTACAGCTCGGGAGAGTCGCCAACAGGCGGGTAGCAGTGCCAGTTGCCAACGGTTGAGCAGCAGTGCCAGATGGGCCCGATGATGCCATTACCACCAACCCCATGAACAACAGTAAGAATGCACTTCTTAGGGCGCAGCCAGTGATATCCATTGGTACCTGTTTCTGTCGCCACATCGTGCTTGTGCGATAGCTAGACTAGCACTAGAGGTCGAAGCCAAGAGGGAGGAGGGATGGAAAACTTACGTTTTGTTCAAGGTGGGTGTGTGACAGGGTGTAACGAACTCGATGCTTTGCTCCCGGTAACAATGTAAGATATATGGTGAGTTGTCTATTTCTCCCCTCCTCAGCTTGGGCGGTGGTCCTCGCGAAGACCTGCTTGAAGCCTTCGTTCCATCAAAAAATGACTGCACCAGTGAAAGATTTTATTGCGACTGTGCGGTTTCCAGTGGTACAGCTGTACCGTACTGTTGAGAATTAGAAGGCAAAATATCCTCCCGAACCGGCTACATGTAGCTAGCTGGCTCTCCCAAGTCTTATTGGACAATACCGGTACATGAGGCCCCTCGTTTTTTAGAAGAGTTTTTGTACCCTCATGAGTACATGTAATTACTCGAGTAGCTAGCTAGCTATTAGCAATTCTGCCTTTTTAGAGAAATTTGGTACAGTCTCCGCCACGGTCTTTTTCGGTACCGGTACCATGCAGTATCCCCATTTATTTTCGTGGCAAAGTGGAAAAGCAGCACCCAGAATATTGTAGAATATTGAAGAATACTTGTAGCTGTGCAGGATGTCTCCTAGCGAGCTAGCTACTAGTAGTACTGGTGGCGAGAGACAAGGAGCTGACTGGGATGACTGCCACTCAACTTGCTCAAGCAACCCACCTGGATGCTGGATGCTGGATGCCCTGATCCCTGATCGATCCTGATGCCCAATGTCAACTCGATCGCTCATTCGTCGGGAGGCAGCTTTTGAAATGAACAGACTGGCTTACATCATTGACTTACTTGTGCAGCTACTTTCTGACGACACAGGTAAGTTCTTGCATGCTCGTAGTAGCTAGCTATTACGTGTATTGGTACCACACAAGATCACGTGCCGAGCAAATAAGAGTGTTACATGGTAGCTGCAAGGAAATGGTTCCCATAGTCCCAAAAGAAATAGGCTTCTGCCGAAAAGCCCGTAAACATAATGGCAATTGAAATCAAATGATCCCATTGAGAAAACGTTGATTCCGCCACGACGCCTTCGTAAACTCCACCTATGGTTTGGCCCACCACGGCGATGCCCATAGCCAGCCATAGGCTACTGCTGCCGGCCGCAACATTCGACGACACCATCAATCCCACCAATGCCACCAACCACAAGGTTTGCGAGTAGGCGAACAAGGCAGTGGTGCAAACAGGAACGGGAACAATGGGCTCCTGGTGGGCTCCTCGTCGTGGAATGTGTTGAGACACCAAATGGTTCTGATCGCCCAAGATTCCGTATAAACACATGGGGATGGAAACCAAGAGCATGTTGTTGTTGCCGCAAAGAGCATGGTACTCCATCAAGGAACTAAAGGATAAGAATAAAAACAGCATATTGTAGCCAAATCGGTGCAGCCGATCGTTGCCATAGTCTTGGGCGGGATATTCCAACGGCTGGCTGGTGGTGTCGTTATTGCTAGCGTGCTGGTCTCGAAAGGGCGCCAGTTGCCAGTCATCGTAGGAATGAGAGACGATAGGAAAGAGTGCGCTCATAAAGGTCACCATGGGATAGAGAATGAGCAGTAGCATTCGAGTGGGATCATGGTTGGCAACGGCGGAAGACCACAGTTCAAACTGAGAACAAAACACGTAGGAGTTGACAAGAAGCGGAATGCCCAGGGACCAATGTGCCGCCTGAACCAGATTCAAAATCCACGGCTTGGCCGTATGACTCTGTTGAATATCCGATCGAGACAAGGATTGCTTTGGCTCGCTGGGCTTGGTCCAGCCGTAGCTGGGCGGCAACCTGGGATGAATCTTGTCATTGATGATCGTCGCACCATCATCATTGTCGTCGAGGGCTGGCGCACTGTGCAGCCAAGTAAAACTAGAACGTGTTCTTCTTGATGTGGCTCTTTCCGTGTACCGGTAGGGAGTTTGGAAAGCACTGGTGATGCCTGAGGCTGCCACAAAGAGAGCAAGAATTGCTGCAGTGCGATACAAAAACATTGTACTAAAGATGGATGGGGTGACGATGAGAATTGCTGCCTGACGACGATTTGTGACTTTTAATGAGTCCAGAATGATATCATTCGATTCGATTCAATCAAGCCCCGTCCCTCACTGGAGGACAACTGTGAGCAAGGTTCTTCTTTCGTTACAGAACCATGAAGGAGTGTATGATGGTGCTTGGGCCTGGGTCTGTGATAGATGAAGAGAAACTGAACACATCAATAACCTTGACACCTTGACCCAGTGGGATCTTGCTGCTGCTCGAGCAACCGCGAAGCATTGCATGAAGGAAGAACACTGGAGATTTTTGGTCGCGGAAAGAGTGTATTTGTGAAAAAGACACAGAAAACCTACGGTGGTACTGTTATACTGTACTGTGCCTACGAATCTACCGTACCGGTACGGCACGGTGCGGTACGTGTACCATTGTCGAACGCGCCCAATATTGCAGCTGCTCAGGCATTCGCAGTAAGTTCTTAGAAGGTCGCGCAAAGTGTAGCGAGAAGGACACTAAAGTTTGAAGCAAGCTCTGAAAACATACCCCAGCCAATCTAGCTTTAGAATACTAGAGTACGTACATGCAGTAGATCTGTCACCGCACAAGAAACCAGTGGGAATAGGAATTTGCCCAAGAAGCCCAATCACCAGCTTGCCATCCTCATGTCTTTTCAGAGCGCTCACAAATATCTTCGCCCATCTAAAGAAACACCAAAAAAACATGCTTCGATTATCGCTTTTGATCTTGCCATTGTTCCTGGCATCCAGCAGCCAAGGTTTCACGCAAGTGCACTCGTCAACTCCCCTTGCTGTTACGTCTCACTTACAGACAATGTCGAATCCTTTGTTGGACAGCATATTAGGATCCCACCAGAGTCAGAACTTGATTCTGTCACCACCATCACAATCGAAGGCAAAGCACTCGATTTTCAACAAGAAGGAAAACGAGCCAATTGCAATCATTCTCCTTCCTGGTTGCCAACTGAAACCAGAGCAATACCGAGGAGTTGCAGAAGCAGTTCAACAGGCATCGAATCAGGAAATATGGGTTGCAGTTACCAAGTTTCCACTGAATGTGGCCAACCCTCTAGTAGCACCTGAAGCCGTCAAGGAGGCCTTTCAGCAACTCAAGGATCAGGGGTATTCAGGTGACAAGGTGTTCTTGGGTGGCCATTCGCTTGGAGGAGTTGTCCTACCGTGGGTGATGGATGGCGACAAAGGGTTACGACAGGACCAGGTGGCTGGTGTGATCCAGCTTGGAAGCTTCTTGGCACGTGATACCCAAGAAAACGCTCCGATTCGAAAGGTCCCAAGTCTGACCCTTACCGGTGACTTGGATGGCATGGTTCGCACCTCACGTATCGCTGAAGACTACCACCGACATGTCATTGCTGATGCCCCCGAAGACAAGGAAGCCAGCAATGATGATGATACCAGGAAACTCCATCATTCCGTTGTGCTGGTTGAGGGAATGAACCATTTTGGCTTTGTAGGAGGGGAGACCCCAATCATGAAGCGATTCCGAGACTTGCCGCAGGAGATCGATCACAGGGATGCTGTACGAGAAGTCGCGGAAACGATTGCTGACTTCATCGATGTGCATCAAACGGGCGATCCCATCTCAAAGAATAAATTGCTGGGGCGAATTGACGAGACAACTGAATACCTCAAGCCATTGCTCACAGCACTGCAGCTGGAAGGGAGCACTCATGTTGGGTCAGATCCTACGAAAGGCTCACCATTTGTGAACAAGATGCAAAAGGAGTTGCTTTCGGAACATGCCCTACCCAAGGTGACAGTCTCCAACGAGTTTCGTGCAAGTTGGTATCTGAACCCTTTTGCCAAGGTCCCATTCTTTCATCCCAAGGTGCACTCGAGCAAAGATTATGGATCATTGGAAATGGAAACCTACGCCGACCCAGTTCACGAGAAGACGGATGCGTGCTTTGACGCAGGTTTCTTTTCCAATACAGTCCACGAGCTACGCTGCAAGTTCAACTCCCCCCAAGCTGTCTTGCAAGCTGCAACTGGTGATGACCGTGTCAAGTTCGACCCGTGCCACAACTTTGCCAAAGATCTGAACGAAAAGACCCTCGCTTGGGCTATGGAAAACGCACCCACGCGTGTCAAGCGACGTTACCAACAGCGTGGTGTACAGCTTGTGCCTGGTGATGATATCAACCACAGCAGTGGCCCTTCCTGGATTTGGAGCTACATGAACTACGAAAACGATCCACAAGACCCCAACTGCAGAGTTGTTCGTTCTCACACAATGGCGACGCCCACAGACCATCCGATTCCGGCTGCTGGGGGCAAGCTGTACTGCAAGTTGCTGTCCCCTGCCAAGGCTCTCGACTGGATGTATACAGATTCACTACGTTTGAAAATCAATCCGGTGGAAGAATTGGTGCAATCGGTCCTACCCAAGCTGAGGGCGCTTGGCAGCAGGACAGCTCAAGCATCAGGACAGGCTCAGGAAGCGCAGCCTTGAACTCCAAACAGCCAGCCATACGTTGATGATCTTGTAGAAGAGACCGCTTAAGTCACATACTATACACTAAACTGTAAACGATACTGCACGTGTAAAACAATGTTGTCCAGCTAGCTAGTCAGTCATTGTTGGTTCTACGTGGAGGCACGCAAGCGAACTACTGGTACATGTATGGCTGCTGCAATTGTCATCTGGAAACTCTATTCGACTAGATACATACCACTGCCTGCGGGTTGAAACATCCAACATTTGGAAACTCTCAAATGGAATCGAGCAAACAATGCCCATGCTGCCAACAATGGCCTTTGAAATCTGAAGTGGACACGTGAGCATGGGCGCACCCGTAATGCCCCGACATCCACTGTAGCTTCTATACCGGTAGTACTATCATATCTGTGATCATTTGGAAACTTGGAATTTCCCCATGAGGGTGGATGACCAGACGCTCGGATACTGTCTGGAACTTCTAAATGGGCCCACGAGATTGATGCCCATGGAATAAAGGGACGTGTGGATCAGCTGCTGTCGGTGGGCAGCCATTTGGAAGAAATTCTCCAGTGGTCTCAAGAGAATGGGTGTAGAGCGATGTGCAGCAACTATGCCCAGAAGCTGCCAGAATAGGGTCCGTGGAAATTGTGGAATGGGCTCAGAAGAATGGCTGCCTTATAGAGTAGGTACTGCTGTAGTGGTGATTGCATTCAGTTAGGCATAATGTTCCCACCCACGTCAATCTCTTTGCGGTTTCCTCCGGGTCAACAACAAACGTCTCCGCCGCACCTTCCGGCCATCGTATAGAGCACCAGAGCCAAAATCCTCCATTAGAAGCACACCCAACGAAGTCACAACTAAGAAAGCATGAGAGCTCAAAAAGAGAATCATTTCATTAATCGAGCAAACTAGGTTGTTACTACTAGGCGGAATTATGATGAGAGTGCGATCGAGGAACCATTTGGCTAATTCGAATGACGTTACAGACCACCGTGACGGGGTCAAAAGAGGAGTGGATGCGGGCGCAATACCATCAGAGGCTTGAACTTGTTTCATGTTCATAATGGCAGCACAAGAGAAGGGAGTACACAGAGAGCGGGGGGGCTCAGGGAGGAGCCATGAGGACGGAAGGAGGAGACAGCTCTTCAAAGATACAGAGAGCATCCGTGTGACGGTCCGGGTGAACCCCACTTTCTCCTTCAACGCTCATGGCAAAGTTTAAAAAGTCTCCCAACTCGTTATCATCCAACGCCAAAGGGTAGTCATTCGCAGCCGCTTCCGCGGCGGTCGCCAAAGCTGCATCCGGTAGCAGGAATGCTGCCGTGTCTTGAGGAGCCGTCCAATGAGGAGGAGCCGTCGACGACAAGTCCAAAGTCGGGGGAGTCGCAGAGCTTGTATTATCCACAGCCACCGGAGTGATCTTCACTGCTGGAAGGTATTAAAAGTGGGCATAACAGTTGTGCCTAAATGGCAACAACAGCCCGATTAGGGATTCTGACACAGGCATTGGGTCGAGAGATCTTAAAAGTGGTGGTGGCTTGGTGTGGATAAGGAGCGCTGCGGCTTGCCGAAAAGGACTGAGCGACGGGTTCTTCATCAAGAGAAAAGGATTCTCGGGGGCTCAAGGGGGGCGACACGGTGTGGGGTTCCACTACCGGAGAGGCAGTCACATGCTGCGGACGTGTATTCATCATCATCATCTTGGGGGGCTTCCAAGCACTTTCTCCTTGAGCGTCGCGAGCGGCAGCTTGCGCTTCCAACTCGACAATGCGCTTCAAGGCAGCTTGGTACTTGGTGGTCAATTCTCCAACTTCCGCTTCGAGCACGTTGATTCGCGATTGCGTCTTTTGGCGAGAGGCTGCGGCACTCTCGCGGTTGCGAACACGACGAGCTTCCTTACGCCAGAGCGTCAACTCGGCCTTGGTCATTTTCACGGCAGGAACATACCTAGCTTGCTGCTTGACACCCGGGATCTTGGCCAGTTCATCCTTGGACAACGTGCCGGGAGGAGACACCTCTTCGTCGGAAGAGGACGCACCTTCGTCCATGCGCGGCTTCTTTGGCTTACTAGGCTCGGCAGCGTCATCTACAGGTTGTTTGGCGCGTCGCTGCATGCGACGCTTCCTCGCCTTTGCCGTGTTGTCCAAGTCTTCTGCTTCTCCCATGGTGCTTGCTTTGTTTCTTCTTTCTGCTTGCTTTGTGGTTCAGGTTTGGTGAGATTTGGATTTGTGTGCTGTTTCGGTTTCGAATGGAAGGCTTTGGAAACTGATGACGCTGTTGGTTTTGACACTCTGGGGTAAGTCGTGTTAGTCAAAGCCTAGTCGAATGAGTCAAACATTTAGTCGAGTAAGTCGAATGCAGTAGTCAAGTGAGTCGAATCGTGCTCTTCAGGAATTGCCACATTGCCACTTGTCGATTTTGGGGTTTCGATTTTTTTAGCCAAGCTCCAGAACCCTTGCCGGTTAGATACCCGCAGCTAGCTAGCTTCTACATGTTCATGCACGCATACAGTTACCATGGTACCAAGTACCTACTAGTACCCTTATGATAAGGATGACACCGGTACCGGCACTTGGGGATTACTCTGAGTGACTCAGTCTGTGCGAAGCATGCCGTCCTTTGGGCTCCAAACTCTCTGCGGTTCCTGGTATACATCCATCACTTCTGCTTCTCGAAACGATGGGGATCTTTCTCTTTGGCACCATTGTTCTTTGCATGTGAGTGGTAGAGGAAGCAGTAGCACGATTAGCTGACCCTGCTGGTGTCTACTAGCTAGCTAGCTCGCGAGGTCGTAAAGCAATGCTACAGCCATCAAATTGTGTGAAGAAGGTCACGTCAAGAGGATCTGAAACGCAAGCAACGAATGCGATTTGCTTGGCTAACTGTACTCGTGGAGAAGGCCATACCGTATCATCGCCACCATACCGGTACGATGTATGAAGGGGACGCTCACCTCTGGCACGTTTTTTCTTTCACCGAAAGCAATGAATGCAAGACTTTTCGAAGGGCTACCGGTACGGTGTGGGGTACAGACATACACCTCCTCCGTGTACGATTACGATACTCTGCTGGCTTACAATTTCCATGGCCAAAATGTGCACGGGAGTTGATCGACATACCCAGATGACAGGGATGACAGCAAAGGGAGGAGGAGGCTACCAGTAGCTTGACGACAGTGGCCAAGTTCAGCTGTCTCCATTGTAGGCCACGTTGGACCCCCGGATCGTAAAAGTATGCATTCATGTTCAATATTTGGTTACTTTCATGAGACGACAAGATCGATCATCTGAAGGTGGCGCTCGTAGAGCGAACGATGCTCGCGTATGATACGAAATCGATCTTGAAGCACACCGATGAGCCATTGTGCAAAAACTCGTGCGTAAGCCAAAGTAAACGAAACGCACGCCGAGTATTCCAACTAGTGATGGTGGCAGCAGCCTTGGAATGACTGGGGAGCGAGGAGCCTGTGAAGACCCAGCGAAGCCAGAACTGAGGACACGAGTCTTGGAGCTACCAGCGCAGAATACGGTAGCGCAGACCCTTTGGCGGATATGCCATGTGTAGGGATGGATGTTCGTTGTCATCGTTCAACACAAAGTCTTTGTGTTGTGGGGTGCTCGGAAGAGCGGTGACCTATCCACAATGTGGCTACTACATGTATAATTAATGAAACAATAGCACTGTATAGTAGCTACGGTAAAACCGTTCCCTATCCACCATTGTCTGCTAACCAGCCTGGTGAGCAACGAACTACGTCCGAGTACTTGCTCTGTTTATTCCTGTGGCAGAGCGAGAATGGCTTGTAGGGCATCCCACGCCATGGCCCCCGTGAAATGATCCTTGTCATGATTGTCGTATCGTTCCATGACGGCCGCCAATGCGCTAATGGCCCCCACTTGCAAGAATCTCGATCGAGTCGTACTGATTTTGTCGTCGTCGTGGGTTGTGTTGGACGACTCTGAGTCCTCTGGTTCTCGTTTGAAGATGGCAAAGAACGACGAGGTCTTGGCTGCTATCGTCTTCGTCGTGGTGGTGGTCGTGCTTGCTCGAAAGGGATTTTTCATGATGCTGTCCATTGACCAGCCGAGGGGAGGTTTTGATTTCTGGCTGTCATTGGTAGGTGTAGGTTTCTGATTTGTGGTGGTGGTGACTGCCAAGGAAGCTGCCTTTTTAAGAATTTGGCAACCAAGTCTTAGTATCTTGGAATGATCGGGATGAGCCCGTATGGTTTGGACGGTAGTCTCCATGATGCTCTTGCTGCTGCTGTCGTCGTCGTCATTGTTGTTTTGGTGTTGAAACAATTCTGGCAGTGAGTAGATCTCCATGATTCCATAAATGACAGCCAACGCCCAATAGGCAATTTTCGGTTGTTGCGGTTGTGGTGGTGGTGGTGGTGGTGGTGGTGGTGGTGAGGAATGTTGTTGTCGCTGTATGGCCGCCATGGCAATCTGTGCGGTGTTCAAACACTTGAGACTGACCAGTAGCAAATGGTGATGATGGTCTTGAAATCCCACTCGTTTGGCTCTGGAGGGACACATGAGAATGGTCAAAACAAAGAACGCTTCCACCACCACTGCCAGTTGTTGCTGTTCTTTCCAATCTTGATTGCCATTGCAGTTGCTGTTTTGACTGGCAATACTGAGAATATCCTTGTGTCCACAGGCATGGTACAGTGCCAAAGTGATTCCATCTCCTGGATTCTCGTCTCTCAGTACTTCGAACAAATCTGATAAGGTCTTGAGACAAACGTCATCAGACTGTTGATGTTGGAGAGCAGCCAGAAGCAGTTGCAGCTGCTTCCGTTTTCCATTGGGATCAGTAGATGGCCCAAAACTGCTCGAGGGGATCATTTCGGGATCTTCCACTTTGAGGCGTTTGCTGGCTCTTGGATCTACTAGTAAACCTCCCTCTTCTTCATTCTCTTCATCTGCATCATGCGTACCGGTACTACCGCTGCTGACGCCTTCAGAGGTAGCATCCTCCTGCTCGGATGATAGTTGGCTTGCCATGGTCCGGTAATCTACTAGTACGCTCCGTGTCCTGCTCTTTGTGTGCGATGTATTTACTGTACCGTGGTCTTCGCTTTCGGATCTTCCGGTGGTTGAGGTAAAACAATATTCAACAATATGCCAGCGAATGGATGTAAGGGGAACGTGTACGGTATCGCCAGATACTTGAAAAATTGGTTTACCGCATTTACATGAATTCTAAAAAGGTGTCTTCCAGCTCGCGTATAGTAGCCACTAGCTAGCTGGAGTACCGCTACCTGGTACCGATAGCTACTGTATGGATGCCGATCGCCAAGCAACAAGGGCGGTGAAACAGAAACAAAACAAAACTTGTTTGCTTGGTTTTACCTTACCCATTGGCATTGAGCAGATCCCTAATGTGACTGGTACTGGTTCGATAATCGAACTTTCCCTTGCGGGCTTCCATTGCAGTTTCCCTCAAGCACAGAATTGTCTTGATGACACCCTGGAAAAAGGTTGTTTCGTTGTACTGTATTCCATGCTTCTTACAAACCTGTTCGACCATTTGTTTGGCAATAGGAAGATTGTGTCGTGGCAGTGTGGGGTAGAGATGATGTTCGATCTGGTATTGCAGTCCGACGTGAAACCAATCCATCCAGTCGTAGCAATCAACGTTCAGTGTGGTTTTGATTTGCATAGTGTACCATTCGTCAGATGCATCATTGTAGGCATTGCCATGGTAGGTATCCATACTAAAGTGAGAGAGGGTGATCTGGAGGTGCAAGAGACCGGACACGCCATGACTAATGATGATCCAACCAGCAGCTTCGAGCCATGTGGGCAGCGAGCACACGACTGCGATAACCCACAAAGCAAAGAAGGTTAGACTGATCATCTCATGCACTCGGTAGTACATGACAATGGCATCCTTCCGGTTGATGGTGGTCAATAGCAAGATCCAGGACTGAGCATAGAGATTGAATCTGCCAGCCGCCATGATGGCGAGGAAGAACCAATGCTGATGGCGAATAAAGAATCGGGCAGCTGCATCGACAAAGATGACCTTGTCATGGTAAGAGCTCCAGAAGGGTTCCTTCATGATTTCAGGCGTGACAGCCATGAAGGGCATGTGCTGGATATCAGGGTCGTTTTCAATGGAGTTACAGACGACGTGATGAGTGTTGTGACTTCGCTTCCACCATCCCACGGAGATACCCAAAACAGCAGATCCAATCGTCGATCCCACCAAGTTATCGTATTGAAAGTTGTGTGAGATAGAGGAATGTCCAATGTCGTGTCCCCATCCAGCCAACTGTTGCCAGAACATTCCCATAAGTGTCGCTCCCAGCATGTGAGCCGCAGTGGACTGGCATTGGAGCGTGAGATAAAGGGAAGAGACAAAGAGGGTGGCAAACCAAGCATACAACTTGTAGTAATAGACAGGGTTTGTTTCGAAGAGTCCCCTCCTCATGAGTTCTTGGCGGATATCTCTAAAATCTTGAACATGTGGATAGACTGGCACATCGGTAACTTGTCCAATGAGGTAGGGAGGTAGCCACTTTTTGTAGATTGCAGCCGAGTGGTAATTGGCAAAGGCATCGGTACAGTCTTTGCCAGCCATGTTGTAGAGTACCTTTTCGCCTCCAGGATGCTTGGCAACAAAGTTGGTAATGTCATAGACCCGTTCATCGATGACAATCCATGCTTCAGCAGGAGAATCACGCTTGGCCACCTCCGCCATGGTGTACTTTTTGAGGATAGTAGGGTCATCGGCACCACGAGGATGCAAAGGTACCAACTTGCTGATACCCCTGTCTTCCCTCCAAATGAGTGTCTTGTCCTTGTTGACGGCAGGGTACTCAGTCTTGGTTTCTTCTTTGGTGGGATAGGTCATCAAATATCCAACCAACAGAGCCGTGGCTGAGGCCAGCACCACTTGTACAGTGTTACCGCTGCTCAATGTATCTTTGTTGTTAGCTCGACGAGCCATCACTGTTGATACAAGGCATCCCAAGGACACAACAACCCATACAGTTACACGATACAGCCATGGTGAGCTGTTGGAAGAGAAGGAAAGGGGTCCCTTCGCCATGGTCATTTTTCGAAAATTTGGTAGGACCGGATCTTGCTGCTTTACGGATATTAGCTAGTAAAGATAATACTAGTATCGACAACACCACAGTTGGTTGGAGGCTTCACTAATGCGAAGAGTTCAAGACCAAATGTGAAGACTCTCTGCCGCTTTGGGTTATGCCCGTTAGAGCTTATCAGGGTGCATTCCTTTGGTTGTGTGTAATGGTTATCCTGGAGCAAACTGGTGTGCAGTGCGTTGATGCCGATGGCCAATTCCTACCACGCAAGAGGCAGCCAGCAAATTCAGAGACCACCAGCCAACAGCAAACGGCCGATTTCTTGGATGTTGGCGTGTCCAGTTTTTTGTGGCTCCGAGGCGGTCGCGCGTTCTACCGCTACCAGTATCTATGTCACTTTTGAAATGGCGCGAAGTCTGCACTATCATAATAACTGAGACCACACAAACAACCGCCATGATGCTCCGGAGACGGAGACTGAACCGTATTAGTACCAAATACATGTACTCCTCCTGCTAATAAAATCTGTTGCACCAGACCTACCACATCCCATGGAACCCAATGCGTGAGTTCGCAGAAAATGTACCAGGGCTACATGAGGCATTGGCTGCTCACTTCTTGAACAGGTTCTAGCTAGTACTCAACGCAACGACGCTCCTAAAATACAAGTAAGGGATCTACAAACAATGGTCATATTATTACCACTACCGATTTATCAACAAAAGCAAGCTTCAAAGGCGGTTTGGTTGTAGATCTAGAGAGGAATGGTTGTGGTCGTAGTACCAGTACTGGTACCAGTGGGATGTGCCTTGGTCTCTGCTCTTGGAACTTCTAAAAAGGTGGTTGAGGTAAAAGTTTCTTATTAGCTAGTAGAGCTGTTTGTAATACAAGGTCCGAATCAAGTACATTTGGACAGTACAGTACCGTTAGTTTTTTTTACTTGATTGTCTTTACCATTAGGGGGGGGTTAGAGTAGGGAAATTATCTACGGAAGCCAGCCGGGGCCAGGCTTAAGCAAAGAACAGTCGAAATTCTGGACTAGCTAGGTTCGGTGGGATCAGGGGCAAGAAAGTGAGGACCATTACGGGGGCCAAATGGTTTGGCTTTGCGAGATCCATGGAGACAGAGATGAGTAGCTTTCACAAGGGCAATTGAGATACGGGTCTGCAGGGAAAACATCATTTGAGAGTAGGAAAACTGAGTTTTGGAGGCAGTAGCAGAAGCAAGCCGTTGTAAGAGAAGCTTGGCTTGGGGGGCAAGCATGCCATTGTCTTTACTAGCTAGAAAACGAATGAATCCAAAGCTGCACCAAAAGAGCTACCAAAAGCTGCACAGCCGCAAACACTTTCCAAGGCGAAAATCGAAAATCATCCACACACTTAGACTACATGTACTGGTACTTGAAGGCTGAAGGGCGCTGAGTGATCTTGGCCGAGGCGTGTGAAGTGCCGAATAATACTGGCTGGGGTAGCATATAGCTTTCCAACCGGCAATGAGGACGAATCGAATCGAAAACTACACAGCTGCACACACTTTTTAGGCTGACTGCTCCACCACACCTACTTGAAGGATGAAGGGGGTGCAGACCAAGTTGATTCGATTCCATTCACTATTCACCATTGCAACAGCTATTGCAGCCATCGGCAAAGTACTCGAAACAGAGGTGCTGTCGCCTGTTTCGTCTACTACGAGATCCTTTTAAATCATGTTCACCAAAATGGGTGGGTTTCTGTACCAGAAATGGAGACGCTGCCGAACCACCATCGTGCCATCGTGCACATTGCCCATCCGGTCAACAAGAAGGCAAGAACCAAACGAGCTGGTGTCTTCTCAGAGACATAGATGCTCTTCTCGAATTATTTGATTTAGCTGTTCCCGCTTGGCCAGAAAGTTACATGTATTAGGCTGCAACCAGGAAGCAGGAATGATTCAATCCTTCTTCATCTCACTTTTCCAAAACCGTACGATCTCCTCCTGAAGAACCAGCCTTGATTGTGCCACAGCCATGTTCTCCTGCAATAACTACTTGTCTGGGCTTTCCCTCCTTGGAGTCCTGGCACTTGCATCCGCAAATCGATATGAATCTGAAGTCATGAACCAAGCAATGGTTGATGGTGCGAGCCACACCATCCAGGTTGATGACGACTTTGTCATCTGCGATGTTGACATCGAAGTAGATATCGTGCGTGGAAATTCATCTGCTGTGCACATTGACCTCTCCTTTGGTGGTATGACAGTCGACCTTGCAAATGTTGAGCTTTGTAGCCTGAACGCAATTTTTGATGATTCCAGCACCACTACAGTTGACAGTGTTGTTGGCTGCGTGTCATATGGCACCTATCAGCCACAAGGGAGCCTGTCTGTCTTCAATAGCGAGTCTTCACAAGGCTCCTGGACGCTAGAGTTTCCAAGTTTCAGTGGCTTCAACATACTTACTCAATGGGCTGTGATTCTTACACCTTGTGAAGGAGCTGGCACTGGGGACCCCCACTTCAAGACCTGGGCAAACAAGTGGTATGATTTCCATGGAGTTTGTGACTTGGTCTTCCTAAGTAACCCAAAGTTTGCACAAGGCACTGGACTGGAGATCCATATTCGAACCAAGGCCCGATACCAGTATTCTTACATTGAGTCAGCAGCCATCCAACTTGGAGAAGATATCCTGGAGGTTGGTGCCTATGGTGGATACATGTTGAATGGCATCTCAAATGCTGATCTGGATAAGCTTGACAAATACACTATCACTCATCAAATGGTCAGCTCCAAGCAGAGTGTTTTCATCGTTGAACTTGGAGAGGGAAAGCAAATTGTGATCCAGTCGTTCAAGGATCTCGTCAGCGTCAAGACGGTGGGTGCCAGCTTTGAGGAGTACGGAGGCAGCATGGGTCTTTTGGGAGAATTTGGAACTGGCCAGTGGCTTTCTCGGAATGGAACAGTCATGTCTGATGCTGATGCCTTTGGCAATGAGTGGCAAGTTCTGGAGACAGAGCCCAAGCTCTTCCAGATGGAAAGGTTTCCCCAGCACCCAGTGCAGTGCACCATGCCAAGTCATGGGAAGGTTGGTCGCCGACTTGGTGAATCCATTGCTGAGGCTGCTGCTGAGAAGGCCTGTGAACATTGGGGAGACCTGAAGGACCAGTGTGTCTACGATGTCATGGCAGCTGGAGACTTGGAGCTTGCCGAGGCTGGAGCATTCTAGCTAGGTGTTTGGGAGTTGAATACTGTTGGGGTTCCTGTGCTGAGAGCTACCGGTGCCAGGCACCGGTACTGCTCTGTGCTTTGAAACTCGCATCGGTCATCCCATGCCTGTGTCGTGGTGACGAAGAACGCTAAGAGGAGTCAAAAAGGCCGACCGCTAGTTCGTAAATGCTAATTCTTCGTGTGTAATACATCTGCATTCGATATAGCGGATTCATGTATTGAGGCCATAAGCGAAAGAGTTGATGGAGATCTCGCTGTTCGTGCTGACACGCTCAGAATATAGTCGTACCGGTACGGTTGCGCAGGGAGGGGAACTGTGTTTCTGCCGCAGTGAATAAACAGGTACAGCCACCTTCCAGCCCCCAGCTCTTCCGATTTCGTGTACAACACACTTGATTTCGTTTCGAACTAGATCCCATGCGACAAAGCAAATGCATTTCTTTCGGCCTTTGCAAAGTAATCCGTCATCTTGGACGCTACCTGTCGTGACTGATCGAGTCTGTCAGAAGGACGAAAATCAAGCTCACCGAAGACATGGAGCCAATTCGAAACGTCGCTACCGTCTTCCCATTCTAAACTGCTGCTCAAAGCCTTGAGGAAGTCTTTGAACACCCACCCAGCTCCTGTCAAATCAACGAACCCCCCGCCAAAGGCGTCTATATCACATCGAAAGGCATGGCAAGCCTTTGCGATGACCGTTTCGCATTCTGTGGTGTCGCCAATAGCCGCACCGCTCGGACTGAACCGCCCTTCCCTGGATGCCGGGTCGCTTCCATCCTCGTTGTAGTCAAACCCTGCGTAGTCCTTCCGAAAAAGAACCCGACATCCTTGACTGTAATGGGTCGTCGAGAGATCCATCCCCATGGAACGTGTGAATGTGAGGTCCTTCCTCCGGTCGTCGACAAAGCGATACTTGTCTATTCGAATGCCGTTTTCTGATTTCACCATGGCCACAAGCACACTCACGTCGCGAACAGAGAGCCCGGTTCCGATCAGGAAGTTTTTGGCAAAGTCGCCACGAGCCGTGTTCTTGCCAGCAAACCAGACAGAAGGCGTTTCCGCGAAGATTCCGTCTATCCAATCCAGAAAGGCAATGGGTTCGACTAGACCACAGGTTCGCAAGGCGTTGTAGCAGTGCAGGACAGTCCTTACATCGTCGATCCTTAGAAACATGTTTCCAGATACCATCCCCATGTAGACACTGTACACACAAAAGGAACCTGCCACGATCGGATTCCAGTATGCGTTTCGCCTTGAGGTTGGCGAAATGGGTTTCCAGCGGGGCTTGAGAATGTTTTCAAACAATGCCAGAAGAGCACAATGTTCCATGGTTCGAGAGGCGCCCTTCAGTTGGTCAAAAAGGTTGAGGCTAGCCGACTCGCCTTTGGAACCTAGTCGTTCCAAATGCATGTTTCCTTGCATCGCGAGAATCGAAGTCAGCATGGCATGAAATCCAAAGGCAACGTGGATTGGAACAGCGCTCCCAAGACGACCTTTCAAGAGACGATCCAAGGAATGAAGGAGCGGGATCAGTCTGTAGACTCCCGAGTTGTTTTGAACGGGGAGCCTGTAGCGGTCTTCCACCTGACACGCCGCCACCAACTCTGGCAGTATCTCGCTGACCAAGAGACGATCCAGGCACTGTGTGCCTCGGGCGGGCCGTTGATCTTCGTGCCACGAGCGCTCAAAGGTATGACATCCTGCTTTGGCAAGCGCCTTTGGCCCATCATCGCCCTTGTGCTTGAGAAAAGCCAAAGAAGCCTGGAGGACTTTTTGGGTATTCAAAATGCAGTGTTGACGCCCGATGTACTTGTAGCCACGAAGAAACGTGGAGCGAATCTTGTGAGAAGACGGCTCCATGATGAGATCCGAAATGTCTCGAGCCAATGCTGCGGCCTCTTCGAGAAAGAAATCTTTCTCCCATCCTCCGTCTGGCATTGACACTCTCTCGGCAAAGGATCGCAGTGCTCGCGTCGTATCCAAGCCATCACAAGTAAAGCAAGCCTCAATGACATCGCCCACAAAATGCGTCAGCGCATGAGGATAGCGAGGGCTGTCGTGAGAGAGAATGTCGTGTTTTTCTTGCATGGACGCAGCCGACAGCAAGGGGCAAATAAAGACAATGGCCAGCACGTCGTAAAAGTTTCGAATGTGCGGTTGTTCCAGGGTGAGCTCAGCCCATGTGGACTGAATACATTCTGTAGCAGTGTTGCTGGCAATGGAAGCTTCCATCAACGTATGCAAAAGCTTTTTGTCATTGGCGTCCTCTATGCCATCCAGAATGCAAATGGCTTTGACGCGGTCAAAGCGCTCCCGGACAATCCCCATGAGACGGTCCATTGTTTCGAGAAACGCAATGCATTGGAAGCGATCATCGGCTTGAATCAAATCTTCCGAATTGCCTGCAGAGTCCATTGGGCAAGGTGGCGGCGGATTGGGTGGCGGCGGCATGAAAGAAAAAGGCTCCTTGTCTTCTTCCTCTTTGGATCCGATTTCCCAGGCATCCTCGGAAGTAGAAGATGGGACAGTCTTGTGACAAAGAGCCCGACTGGTGCTCTTTTGGGAGCTTTGAAGGACAAGGTGGGCGATTCGATGACTGTATTCCAGGACTTCTCGGCAGTAGGAGAGTACATACAAAATGTATTGATGGCCCTTGTCATTGTCGCCATGTTTCGTCATTTGTTGCTGTCTGTGACGAATTGTGACGTCCAAATGGCGGAAGATGGCTTCATCGATGAGAATCACTTTGGGAGCTGATTTTCGGTTCCTGCTGTTATTGCCGCGTGTGGCACTCGCCTCGTAGTAGTCGGCCACAGCTGCAGTTTTCTGAGAGATGGAAGAAAAAGCAATGTGTGAGTTGAGCGGCTTGTTGACTTCATCCTTTCCTTCTTCTTCCCAGTTCCCTGTTCCTCTGTGCTACTTACCTCAAGAACCCAATCAGATGCTTTCTTGTAGTCATCCACCGACGACAAGCGAAACTTTTTTGGCAACAACTTCACCAAGCCATCTCGGAACGCCAGCGTTGCTTGTTTGTAGACAGCGTAGATCCCCTTGGGTTGTTGTTGTTGTTGCTGCTGGTGTTGTTGTGTATTGGAGCTGCTTGGATGGCTCTCCTCCTCCAAATGAACGCTTCGAAAGTCCACGCCACCCAGCCACTGAGATTTTTGCGAGAGAACCTCCTGTCGATGTAATGCTGCCTGTTGTTCCTTCAAGGCAGGCATGGTCGTGCTCACTTGCTAGCGATCTCTTCTCCTTTCAGAGTGCAGATCTTTCGAACAGAGAGGCAATGGAGGTCTTTGCTTTACTAGTATAGGTTTGTGTGCTCAACTCCCGCGGATTGCTCTGGTGTTGTCGCCTTGGAGTTCGTCTTGGAATTGTGTGATGATCGAGAGGAGAAGCGCGAAGCATTGCAAAGGCTGAACCGGGACTGCTCATTCGTGTTGGCGAGAACGGTGCCAATCGAATCGTGCAATCATACGGTAAGCAAGCAAGCAAATAGCGGGTCCAAGACAACCAACAATGAGAGATTTGATGCATTACAGTGAAGGCAGTCACTGTACGGTAGCAGCCGTCGTTAGTTGAAAATGTGTTTGGTTGGTTTATGTGTTTAATCTATAAATGTTGGTATAAGTAGTTGTCTGCCTATTGTTATGGAATTGTTGCAGCCTGGAACTCCATATGTTCCGTTGCTTGGCTACACGTCTCCCTCTTTCTTCGAGGCGACAAACAAGTGGTCCCAGCTTCATATGATACCCTTTTAATAGTTTGAGTTTCCCCGCATGATAGTGTCTGCATTGTAGGTTCAGCCTTGATAGTGGCAGTAGTCGCGCTCTCTATTCACCCTCAGATCCAGAATGGGAATTGCCAGTTCCACCGGAAGAGCCAATGTCTTTGGTCCAATCATAGACAAGCGCATGGTCAATCAGATTGGCAATGGTTCCCCAGTCCTTGAGAGCATGCACAGCGCTGCTCTTCTTGGCAATGGCTTCGCCAAGAATCTCGGATGCCTGCATGATTTCCAGTGGCCCAAAGTCTTGCGAGTGCTGCGAGATTGGAGTGAACTCGCCCACGCCCACTTTGGATCGAGACTCTCGATAGAATCCAAGAATCTCCCGGCTCGTCGAGTAAGCTGGAAAGCCCAGTCGCTCCCCCGTCCGTAAAGCCTTGTACTCTTTCGCCAGCACATATTCCACTTCCGACTCGCGGCTCTGATGATCAGTGGATCCAGATTCCTCAAACGAACCCTGCCTCGCCATCCGATTCGATTCGGGAGGTGACGCAGCAACACCAGCTCGGATGGGAGGTGGAGGGTATGGCTCTGGCAGCAAACTCGAGTCCTGTTCCTCCAAACGCCGGGTTTGTGTTGGCATGGGACGCCGATAAAACTGTTGTGGCATGCCGTGTTGTTGAGGAGCGAGACCATGCGGCCCCGCACGTCCCGGAGGCGGTGGGCTGGTGAACGGCATGAGATGATGCGGCTGTGCTGGCTGGTGAGGGTGGTGACGATGATGCTCTCGTGGCTTTGGTCGAAAGGCTTCTGAAGCAATGGATGGATGCATACCACTTTGCACCGATACCTGCGCCATGGCTGCGGCTTGTTGCGCCGGCAGCAGCACTGGCGGTGTGCCGTGAGGGGGTGGCATTGCCGGAGGTTGTGGAGGCCCTCGATGCGACGAATGGGCCGAAGGAACCGAATACGAGTCATCCGGAGAACGACGCCCGTATGCATCTCTATTTCCCGGCGGCTGCATTTGGCTACTACCCCCCGCTTGCTCCACAGCCTGTGACAAAATCCAGAGGTTCTCCCTTGTCGACTCGGAATACATGGCCAATACTCGGGAGATCAAAGCGTTGGGGTTGTTCATGCTGTAGTGCGGTCGAGTGTAGTCAGGGGTGCCATCTGGGTGTTGTGCATATCCTAGAATCTGCCACTGCAGCGGATAGAGCCCATTCACAACTTCTTCCGTCCAATGAACAATGCCTTGCATAGCTTCTCGCAATCGTGTTGGATCTGTGGTTGTGAGACCCTCAGGGCCCCAGACGCTACGTTGCGAGTGTTCACCAAATGGCCGTCCACTTGTCGCCGTGTCTCCATGCTGCACTGGACTTGCGCCTCGCTTCTCAGCTCTCCCTGATGTAATGCTGCTGGATCCTCGCTGCCGTTTGTTGCGTTTTGATCGGACTGATACTGATGGTGTGAATCCAGGAGCAACATCGTGAAAGCCTTTCCGGTAGTCTGGAGCTATTTGCAGTAAAAAGTCTTGCCCCTGATGATTCTTGGAAACATCTTCAATACGGAACCGAATGGTAGCTTTACCAGCCGACTTGTCCGTGTATAGTTTGGAAGAGCTCCCCAGAGACCGTAAGATCTCCTGATTCGTCACTTTTACGGGGTCCACTCCTTCGGTTGTAGATGCATAGTATAGAGTGAGTCGAAGTGGAACTCGCTCGCGATGTTGTGCATTTTCTTTGCTGTATAATTCTGCCACGGCCTCCATGGACTTGTCCCGACCACCTTCATCCTTGTACCAAATGTTGCTCCAATTGGAATCTATAGCAATGCGTAGCTTGTAATTGACCAGCTGAATAGGAATGGTTGTTACTGGTGCAACCCCGTGACTTGGATCTCGTGCTCCAATGGATATCAAGCAGTAAACAGGAATATCCCGACGAAGAGACTCTCTCATACGAATCTTGCATCTTAGCCGGCAGGGTTTACTGTTGGTTGTCACGGTATTTGGTTGGTTCAAGAGCGCCACGGAAGCATGTGCCACATGCGCGTGTTTTCGATCCCCTCCACCAGCATCTCCTCTCTGCTGTATCCGAACCGAGGCAGTAAGTTCTACTTCACTGCCTGCTGGTGAATCCCCCGTTAGTCGGGCGACTTCCAATCCGACCAATACGTCAATGGGTTCATCCAGAAATGCAAATATGGGTGGTTGTTTCCGAATGACGAGGTATCCATCATCATCGCGAGACGGACCGTTTTTGGGAGGTGTATGGTTGCTACCACTGTTAGAGGAAGACGATGGAGAAGATAATTTGTCCGCCATAAGCAAGCCGTTAAGGCCCTGCTTCTTGCTGGAAGGGGCAGCTCGATTCTCGTGGTGGCTTGCTGGTTGGTAGTCACTCAGTCAGCCAAGCAAGCACAGCAGCATCAGGCAAAGGAGACTTCTGGATGACCTCCTTGCTAACAGGAACACTTTCCTCTCCAGAGCGCTGTTTCCAAGCTAGATCAGAAGATTCTTTCGACACTACCAAGAACCTTGCCTTGACTTTGTGGATTCGTTCAGAGAAAATGTCGAGTAGGATATCAATCTCCAATGCTAAGCCTCTCTCCAACACTACAAGGATTATAGCACAGGAAACTTCTTGAGCAGCGTTTTCCCAGGGCCATCAACGGGTTGATCAATCGTATAGCTGTTGCTCGGCCACCAGGAAGAATGCTCCTCGACTGAACGTTTCGAAAGTTCTCCCTCCACTCCAACAAATCCACTTGTCCCTCTCTCTCACTAACCAACCAACTGACAAACACAGCGCCTTTCTCTCTCTATTCTTTCTCTTTGGCCTGTCAGCCACTACCGTACAACTCAACCGCCTTCTCCTTAACAGAGACACAACGATCTGGACCAATCGCCGCCACCCACCAGATTAGCTATTGGAATGCTTGGTGGTAGGCTGTCCATGCGTTGCTACTCTCTTTGTCAATGCTGGCACGTATCACTACTACAACAAAGATATACCACTGGTCTATTGTCATCGTGCCATTCTGCTGTTGGAAGAAATTTTCTCGAAAACCCAGAATATGATCCTGCATTTTTGCGATGCTTGCACATAACCCTAAACAATGCCCTAACTACGAAAAGCACATACTAACCGTTTCCTATTTAGCCGCAATAGCGAAGCACAAGCTCGGGTTTTCCTTCCTTGTATGTGGTTCCATCTAAGTGACTGTTCTTTGTTATTGAGGAACTTTCTTCGGGTCGCCCGGTGCATCAATGATCCATCTTCAGTCATGAAAATAGCCGAATTCATCAATCCCATTCCAGCTGCATGCGCTCCCATCACCGCTAAATCTTTGCGCCGGGATATTCAGTCCTGCTAGTGCGCGAATGGTGTGGGTTGGAGTTAGAGAGAGCGTGTCGTAACCAGAGACGGAGGAGGATGGCACGGGTTATCTCTACAAAAGATTATGCCGAACAATGTGAAAACTATCAGTGCCTGAGTGGATGGATTTGATTCTGGTTGCCTGTACTTTACCCTACTCTTCTGTGGAGTAGTCTGCATCATCAGCAACGAGTAAAAAGAAGCTGGATTAGTGAACCGGTCTTCGTCGTCCTCGTGCAGATTTATCCCCAATTCTCATCCTCGGACGCAGAATTATCCCTCTCGATCTGTAGCGGTATCCGTGTCTGGGTTGAGGTCCGTTAAACCGAGGCCGTCATCTAGGCTACCAGTGCTTCCTACTAGCTAGCATCCAATCCGCACGACAGAATAAACCGTGCCAAAGGGGGTGCGGTACGTAGCTACAGCACGGTGGGGTGTGGTGGGATTCAATGCCTACTATACCAAGGATTAGTACAGCAAGAGAAAAGATCACAATCAATTGATAGTTCGCTGCTCTTCTTGGAACCAAGAGTATCTGCCACGTAGACAGTACCCCCTCCTTTTGTCCAATGCAAGCGGCCGATTAACTTTTTGCAGAATACCAAAACAGCCGTGGAGTTGGTCCAGCCAGGAGTGGGACCAGGAGAGCGTTCCAGAACTCTGTGTCCATGAAGCTGGTCCTGGCGTAAGACCTGGAACCACTCCAGGAGTCAGGCCAAGAGCTGGACCTAGCTAGAGTAGGCCCCAGAGTAGTCCAGTTAGGTAGGGTCGAGGAGGAGTCAGGCCAAGAGCTGGACCGCACGGTAGGAGCGGCAGCGCTGCAGTTGCTACCCTGCAGTCGACTGTAGTGCCCCGGCAATGGAGCTGGTTGCGACGGTATCTGGAAGCCACAGGGTCACCGCTGGCTAGAACATCACGGTACTGTAGACACTGGTACGACTGTAAATAATCTGTCTGTGCTACTGAAAGTCAAAGCTGTAAGTGCCTACATGTCATGTTCGTACAGTACCAAAGCTTCCCTTCAAAGACAGAGCAGTTCCGAAAATGTTAAAGCGAAAAAAGTGACAAGGCTGCCAAATTGGCAAACAGTTTGGTAATTAGAACAGGCTTGCTCCGTTTAATTTTTGAGTAATTACACAGTCGGCGAGTTTGCTCTCTGAGAAACATGTTTGTCACCCTCGCACTTTAAGTAAATAACGCCTTTCGTAACTGCGATTTTCATGTGAATCCTATAAAGCCGCGGGCAACAGACTTGCAAGATCCGCACCGAGAGTTCGACGAAGGAAAACCGATAGTGGGCTCACCTTAGCAACGGTGATGTTATGTTACCGCAGCAGAGCAAGTAAGTGCTGATCCCTTCCAAAGAAACCCAAAACGAGAGAGCACCTCAGCCGAGCAGCGAACCACCATGAGAAATCTGTCAGGGATGGGGAAGCTCTCCTTACTACTCCTGCAAGTACAAGTATGGATGTTGCTGATTTCCTTTTCGACTGCCGAAGTCGTATCCTCTGGTAGACCCGACGCCGACAACAGCCCCGGCAGCACTGGCGGAACCCCACGGCAACACTTTGTGGCGACTGCAGAAGCAGATCTAGAGAATGGTCCACACATCAATGATACGAATTTCAAAACTCTGGTGCACCACTGCTTACAGTCTGGTGATGCCACGGCCTGCAATGGCATGAAGGACTGGGACGTGAGCCGAGTCACCGATTGCAGTCTGCTCTTCTGGGAACCTACTGGTGATGTCAACAATGACTGGGTGTTGCTGCGTGGAGCGGATACCTTTAATGTCGACATTAGTGGTTGGAATACCAGTTCCTGTACGACCATGAAGTCCATGTTCAACGGAGCCGTTGCCTTTGATCAAGACATTGGAAACTGGGATGTTCGAAGAGTCACCGACATGTCCCACATGTACGTACAACATACAACTAACTGAACATCCACTGTATGGCACCTAATACCCTTATCTCACCCATTATCACTTTTATCTGCTTGTATATTCCAGGTTCCAAGGAGCTCGCATGTTCCAGAAAGATATCTCTCGTTGGAAGACGGGAAATGTGTTGGATACCAGTCACATGTTCCGATATGCCACACGCTTTCATGCCAACGACCTAAGTCATTGGGATACCTCCCGCGTCACCAACATGGCCTTCATGTTTGCCTCTGCGTCCCATTTCAATGGCAGAATTCACTGGAATGTCGCCCGGGTACAGCATTTTCAGAACATGTTCCACAATGCCGACATGTTCAATGCCGGTGGGATTGCCGAATGGGATGTCGGCGGTGCGGTAGACATGCCAGAACAGGAATCCTACGGATTTGTGTCCATGTTTGATGGAGCCAAAGACTTTAATCAGGATATCTCTCATTGGGATATGCGACATGCACTCACGTTGGACTTTATGTTTCGAGTAAGTTTTGTTAGTTTGCGCATGCCTTGCTGGACCATTCGATCAGTGTTGCTCACACTCTGGGTTGGTGGTTGTCATCTATCTGAACCGATCAGGATGCATATGCTTTTGATCAGGATATATCGCCATGGGATATTGGACAAGTAAATTCCATGCAGGATATGTTCCATCATGCCAAATCCTTCCGACAGACCCTTTGTTGGGATGTGATAGGAAAGACCATTGGCAACCTGTTTGATGGCACCGACAGTGGTGAGGCCGATCCAGACACTCCCAAATGCTGGGAGGACAAGCACAAACAAAAAGAAGAATCCAACAATAGTGACAATGGCAACAACTTTGGTACCTTGTCCAGCGCAGAAGAACAAGAGCAACAACCACCATCGCAGCAGCAACCACAGCAAGGAACAGTCAATAAAGTGACTGTAACTCGAACAAAATCAGCCCCATCCATGGGAACACGATTCCTGCAAGCATTGCTGTTTGCGGCTGTAGTGGCCCTCGGGTCCTATTGGGTCGTGCTCATTAGGCGATACATGAAAACTCAAAACAAAAGGCGCAACCTCGAGGAAAGGGTTGCGGGACGATCCGCTCGACGATCCTCCACGGAAGGAAATGATGGCAGCTCTCGCAGTACAGACAGTGGTCGTGGTGAAAACACAGACCATCACATGATGAATACGAGTCACTGCGAGATTAATATTAGGGAGCAGGAGGATGACCTGAATTATTCCTCAGAAAGTGAGGATGATGAGGAAGAAATCATGTTTCAGAAACCTGAAGACATTGAAGCCTTGAGACAACAGTGCTTTACGCAAAGCTTTGATCCAACGTTGTTGTTTGGGCCAGAAGAAGAAATGAAAGCAATGTCAGCAGCAGATCATGCTGTACCTGCCATGAACGTTCTCTTGCAACAGGAGACCTACTTGAGACAACTTCGGGAAGCAAGAAAAGCAAAGAGAGCAGCCGCTTCTGCAGCTGGTTTCCAATACTCTCCACAAAATAGGCAACTTTTGGAGGCCCTAGGAACCACTGCAACAAAGCTTCAATCTAGTAGCTTTGATAGCAGCACGCAACGTCAAACCATTGACAATGGCTATTTCCCAACGCAACAACACGCAGCAGCAATGATGAATTCGAGGCAGGTAGGTACGGGATCTGGCACTGCTGGTGATGCATTGGATGCTCTCATGCAAACGTCAATGAACCAAGCCGCCACGTCAGAAAAAGCATTGCAAACTCTAGGAGGAACTACCGATTACACACAGCAGAATTCTTTACAAGCAGCCAGAGTGAACCCGAGCAAGAGAGCAGGTGGCAGTATATCACTCGACGAATGGGTGTTCCAGGATGTTGAGAGTACGGAGATAGAGACAACATTTGTTGCCTCGACACAACCAAGCACCACGAAAGAGGATGCGGATGTGGCACTTCGGCGTACCGACGGGGTTGACTTTGTGTAAGCAACGAACAAGGGTTTGATCAGAGGAAGTGGGTAGATACAAATTTATTGGGACCAGATTTGATTCAAGAAGGCACAAACAAGGAAATCAGGGACCAGCACAGAGAGCAAGCCATAGATAGCTGTATACTGTAGAAAGGGGGCAGGCAGGCACACCCCCAAAGCATTTATAACAAACATACTGAACAACTTATTCACAAAACCAACTGCTTCTCGGAGGATCATGGCCAGCGCTGGACGGAATGCGCCTCATCTAAGAATAAATTGTGCCTCGTGGTAGCTGCGTGGCATCCAAGAGCTGAGATAGCCGTTGTCCTGCCTTCTGCTGCAAGCAACGAAAACGGCAACGAGTGACAGGCAAAACGAATGCAAACGGTCAGCACGGGGAGCACCGTTCGTTCTTCCCACTCTGGACCTGCTCTCTTTGGGGGTCCCGGTGCGGTCCTGGAGCAAGTTGGCCCAGATGTTGGCACCGGTGTGGGCCCTGGGCCCATGTATCGTATGTCTGGGTGTTGGTCTCGGTGTTCATGGGTGTACACCTCAGAATGCCTCCGGAGCCGATTCCATACGTTCCGATCGTCTCGTGGTCCCAAGTGCCAGGCAGCTGGCTGGTCGTCGGTTGGTAAAACGAACCATGCAGGGACTTGCCTAGGGTGGTTTCGAGCAAGTAATAAGAAGTAGACAAATGTTGCTCGTTTCAGCAGAGAGCGCTTCATAGACCCAATTCACCCTTGTCATCCGCAGTGTTCCGGGACGTGGATCGTGCACACCACATCGAAAGCAACAACGGCCGCAGTCTCGCAACATCCGCACTTCCACTCGATCGTATCATAGCATCCATCCAGAATTCAGAATGGCTTCTAAGATAGCCTTAGAATACACCTTGGCTTTGTGTCGTATTGAAACGAACTCACCATTGTCTCCTTCCTCTCCCTGGCCTCGTCCCTTTTTGTGTTCCGTCGTCGTGGATCGTCGAGGGTCGGGTTCCAACCACGGGTCCCGCCTTCAGGTTTTACGGGTGCTAGTTTTTTGGAAAGCGTAGTACAAATTTAGTTAAAGCGTAATTTCCCGAACCCTCGGTCTAATTAATATACCACTTTCCTCTGGTCACACTTCCAGCCACTCACCAATCAAGATGCTCCAAAGCTTATCTCACTTTTCGTCGTCCTCAAAGCAACAAATCGTTGCAAAAACCACAGAAGGTCGCCCTCATAAAACAAAAAGATTGGTCCTGGTACGGTATAGTCCAATCTCCTCTTGTTGTTGTTGTTGTAAGGAGAAACATCCGTTTCTCACCATGGCTCACTTTCCACAGTTTGATCCTTATTATTAACCCCCCCTGCAGTCACCACAGCAGCATTTTCACCCAGTCCGGACGGTCAACGGCTACTGGCATCCCCAACTCCCGCGGTCTCCCTATCCACAACCTGCCATGATGCCATACTACGGTCCTCCGCCACAACAGCAGTACCGTCCGATCCAGCAGCCAGACAATCAACAGCCCGGTCGTCCTCATGAGCAGTTGTACTCTCCAGTCAAGACTACTACTACTACAGCAGATGCGAACAATGACGATGATATAGTTTTTTTTTTGTTGCCCATGGACTACCGTCCCTGTCCCCGCACGGTCATTATTGTTGGCAACCATAACAATAATAATACGCAGGACCATCATGCCGGCAATGTTCGTTTTCAACAGCTTGTCCAGAGAGAACTGGGCGCTTATCGTGCTGCGGAAACCGAAAACAAGACCACTGTCATTCGGCGTGTCTTGACAGAACTCCAGTACGCATTCGTCCAGCAAGACGTGGCCACATGCCGCTGGTATCGCGTTCCAGACGCCGCACAGCGAGATCTTGTGGAACGGGTCTTTCAGAATGCAATCAAGGACAACAGAACAGCAGCACTCTACATCAGTCGTAGTTCACGGAACAGGAACTGGTTGCGTCAAGAACAGGAACACAGAAACGGAACGCGGCGGTGGCGATGAAACGTCAAAGACACGCAGGAGCAGCAAGAGTCCCTCCAGATGACTACTAGCACGTCATCATCAGCTCCTGTGGAACTCACCAGAAAGCTCCGCCAGCCATCAAGAACATGTGCAATAGCACCTTGGCCACGACGGCATTTACTCCTCTCGGCGGGAGTCAACCTACCATCATCACCCAAGATGTGCCCTCCACTGTCACTGCTAGTAGTACAAACGAAACCATCACCAAGGCGGAGGACAAAGCAGCATCTGCTATCATCTCGCCAGAGGCTCCCTTGTGTCATCAAGAATAACCCGGCTTTGACCAAGGCGCAGCGGGCCATCAAGACATATGTGATGGAACTTCCTGTCAGCAACACAGCAGAGACACCCGTGGACGCCGCACAAGAAACCTGTCATCCACTACACACCAGAGGAGTCCTACGTCCGCTAGTGTACAATGAAACCACAAGGGAGGCAAGCAGGTCCATCACTGCCGAGGCTCCCATCTGTATCAAGGCTAACCCAACTTTGACGAAGGCTCAGCGGGCCATCAAGAACATGTGTAGACTTGGCCACGACGGCAACCCACTGGACGGAGTCAACCTACCACATCACCCAGAGGAGTCCTCCACCGTCACTGCTAGAAGTACAAACGAAACCATACAAAACAAACACACTTACTCTCGCCAGAGCTCCCTGTTGTACCATCAGAATAACCCGTGACTTAATGACCACAAAGGCTCAGCGGGCCATCAAGAACATGTGTGATGGAACCACCGTGTTGGCAATGATGGCAGAGACACCCCGTGGACGCCGTGAGAGCAAACCTGTCATCC